TGATTGTTGTATTATTCAAATTATTACTGTTAACATCGAGCTACTTGTGCAATTAAATTTCCATAGAAATTTAATGTTAATTAATATTGTTGGAAACATTATTATAATAATTTATGAAAATGGCAATGAAAGAATTGAAAAATCCACTATAATTGTGATTATAGCAATGGTGTAGCAAATTTTATCATGATATATTCGTGATATTGTCAGATTTTGATAAGATATTAAATTAAGTTAAAACAATGAAAGAGAAAAACATTATATTTTATTCCTTGCTTATCAATCATTTATGAATAGAATTTTGATATGCTATATCAACCATTGTCACAGAATCGCATACATTAATAATTGCATAATAGCTTGGCCCTTTTTTCTTTGCAATTTGGGTTTAAGTCTATTTCGTTGAATATTTTATCAAATCTTTCAATTTATCCTAAATTATCGTGGCGAATATATTATAAATACATTTGCTTTCAATATTCACAATATCATATTATTACTTTGAATTATTACAATTAGAAATATTTTTCCGTTCATTAATTTTGCCATTCTTTCCACATTCTTTTCATCATACTTTTTTAAGTAATAGCGTGCTCACAAGAAAATGAATAAAAAAACAAATTTTTTTTTCTAAAGAAATATTTCATTCTTTTTTACTCATATTTTTGAATTAAGATTTTTTTATTTTTGTTTTTATTTTAGCTTTTTTTGCTGTAAAAAGAAAATTAGCAATAATGTCTATATTGTCATTATTCTAATATGAAAAATATACAAAATTTGAGTGATTAATGAGAGCTGTTAAGAAAGCTGAAATGATTACACAAAAGTGACAGATAATCTCGAGTAATTAAAAGTAGTGAAAGGCGCACTAATGACAATTCATTCAATTTTATTTCTTTTTTTCCTTCCATGTTAACAATGAACTAAAATGAAAAGGATGCAGTGAAAGGTTATTTTTAATAAATATTTTAATGTATTTCGCTTACTGTTTAACAAATCAATTTAAAATTGTCATAGGTATTCTCTCTTCCTTTTATAAACGAAAAATGAATTCATTTACAATGATATTTCCATTAATCATTTTGACAATTCGAAAAGCTGTTATTGATAATAGCAATCTGTACATCAATTTGCCAGCAGAAATAACTAAATGAAGAGGTTAACTGAATGTTAATAGTAAAAATTAACTGAATGAAAGTCAACATCTTTTTTCTTCTATTTTGATGAGCTATCATAGGCTTTGCACGCATTTTTTGTCTTCAAAAATTTATTGGCTAGAAAGAAAAGTATGGTCAAATTATATTAGAATTTCATTTCTGATAAGAAATCAGATGGAAGAATCCGATAATATACTAAATTATTAATTTTACTCTATAATTATAAAAATGTATATGCTTATCCTTTTTATTTTAAATTTTTGGATATGAATTAAAATTTGATTCAAATTTAATTCAAACTAATAAAATTCACTACATTTCAAAAATTTGCATTAATAACCGCATAAGTGCTTTCAGTTGAATAATCAAAAAAATTTAGCAAAAAATTTTTTTCTGCCTTTCTTATTTTAGAACAGATAAGAAAAATTTTTTTCTTTCTTTCTTATTTTAGAAAAAAAAAGAAAAAATGTTTTTTTTTCTTTCGCATTTGTTCTAAAATAAGAAAAAAAAAATTTATTTTGATGGATTTTGAAAATAAGAACGACAATGAATGGGAAAATAGAAAGAAATACAATTTCATTTTCAACTTTGAAATGAATTCGCCAGCTAATACAGTAAAAAAAAAAACTTTAACAAGGAGAAAAAGTATTTGACTGAAATTGATGTTGCAAATTCGTTAAAATGAATAAAGAATTCTTAAAAAGCCATGAAAAGTTCATTTTGATTCTTTCGTTTCATTTCACATTGATATTTTAGTATTAGCAATACAAAAAGTTCGATTTTTTTCATAAAAGCTCGAACTAAATAATTCAGTTTATTTTTGGTGTATTCGTAAAATTCATCCGATCAGAATTAAAAGAAGGGAAAAGAAAAAGAGGATGAGCGAAAGGGAAGAAAAATTCATAATCTTTGATCATTTTGGAATTAATTAAAAATTTCTATATAATTTAGTCAGATTCATATATTACTGAGAGTTGCTTAATTATTTTCTTTTAATAAATTTTATCAAACTCTAACAATAGCTTTTTGCTGTGGTGATTCATTTAATCAAACGAAGAGAGAGAGAGGAAAAAACTTGTGACTTTTTTTTAAATAGCGCGTTGAAAAGCTATTTTCTTTTCAAAATAGTGCTAGAAAGTGTAAAATTTTCAAAATTTAATTTTAGGTACTCAAATTATTTCAGTAAGAAAAATCAAAAAAAAAAGAATTTCGCAATTGAGATTTAAGTGCAGCAGCAGCGGTAAAATTAAGGAATTTAATTTAATATTTTAAAAGGTGATTCAATTGGAATGAAATTAAAGTTACTTCAGACATTTAATAATTGTTATTTTTTTTACCAAATCTCTTGATATCCATGGAAAAACGGCAAAATTAATATTAATTTATGTAAACTTTCAAAGTATTTTACATTTTCCTGTTTAATTTTTATACTTGATTGGAATAATAATTATAGTATTTTATAATAATTTACTCATATTTGGCAGATTAAAACAGATAAAGCTATTTACCAAACAAATATTTCTCTTATTCGCCATTTTTAAATATTTCATTAATTATTTCATTTGGATTGCAAATTTTGTCAGAAATTTCTAGTTCTGATTAAAAATGACAATGATTTAGCAGCAGATAATAAGATTTAAATAAAAAAATGAAACAATATGGTAGAAGTTACATCAGAAATGAATGTGCTCAGAGCATTTTAATAATAATTAATTAAAATCACTCTCTTTTTTTGATTTTATAACTTGATTTTTTCTTGTTTATTCTAATTCAATTGCTTAATGTTTTTAGCTCATTTATTTCTGCTTTGAATTTTCTACTAGATGTTTCAAATTATATCTCAAAATTAATATTTGACTAGGTATTATTTAAGTCATCGCTTGTTAAATAAAAGTTAATACCGAATAGTTAAAGCAGTAAATGTAAAAGTTAAAGAAATATTTATTATTTAAATAGCACAAAAAGAAATGGAATGAAATCAAAATTACTTCACCCATTTAATAGTTATCATTTTTCCATTATCAAATTTCTTGATATTCATGGAAAAAAGGCAAAATTAATGTCAATTTATGTGAACTTTCATTTTTTGATCATATTTTAGCTATTTCAAATTAAAAACAAGGTTAAAAATTTTAGTATGCTGTAATATGCTTATTTATTCATCATTACTGCATTCATGCGATACAGGAAAGAAATTTTTAATTAAAAATCTATTACGTAATTGAATAAATAAATCAATACATTCGTGTTTTTGTAAAAAAATTTGGAATATTGCATTAATTTAAATTAAAATTAATACCAAAATATTTCAAACACAACATCACTTTATTCAACAGCCTTACAAATAATTTAAAATAACAACAATTATTAATATATTCTTAATTAAAATTACTAATTTACAATAATATGTTCTTACCAAAAAAAAGGTAAACTATCAGAATATGACCCAAAAAAATAATTTAGCAGTTTACTGTATTAGGCTAATAGTCTTGAAAATAATGAAAAAAGGGCTGATAGACAAATAAGTACGGTAAAGTGCGCAGTTTTAAATGTTCTTCTTATCGATAATTTAACAAATTATAGCTAATTTAACTAAAAATTGATAAATAGCTCACCATTTTTATTAAATTATATTTTCGAACGACTATTGAAAAAGCTTAAATGATTATGGTAAAGTATTATTGAGTTATCCAAGGATTTCCTCTACCTCTGTAATATCCTCCTCCTCCACCACTTAATGAGGTTGTGGTCAAAAGATTTGACAATCTGGACGAAGTGGTTAATGGTTGTGATCCGAATTGATTAAATAAATATGTTTGATATGGATTGTATATGCCTGCATTACCGTATCCACCGGATATACCACCATATCTCCATAACGAATATGGTGAATAAAGACCAGCTTAAAATATTTGAAACTATCGATTTATTAATCAAATTAAAAAATTTGTTCATGTGAAATTATTGATTTCAAATGAAAGTTTTTTGATTAAAAAGATGAAAATTTCATTAGTACCTCCACCATGAGCAATTCTTGGATAGGTTATCCACGGATTACCAAATCCAATATAAGGCATATTGCCGGTAAGAGCTTTCAAACCAAAAATACCACCCGCTGCTGTGGCACTTTCAATGAGAAATGCGGCATATAAAATGGTTCGAAAAGCTGAAAAAGGATGAAAAGAGCTTTTTTAAGTGCTATTCTGAAAATTTGGAAAGATTTTCAAGTGGAAAATTAACAAAAACTTTTATCACAAAATTACGTAATTCGTTATGAAGGCGATATATTCTGTGAAAACTAATCGATTGCATATTTTCATCCATTATCTATTAGAAATATTCAACTCATTACTTCAACTAGATTAATTTTTTTGCATAAATTTAAAACAATCCTAAAAAAAATCAAAAAAGCTCAAGTTCTGGCTAATTTTTAAATTACCAAATAAAAGAAATTATTCTAATTCAAAGTGTTTATTCAGTTAAACTTGAGAGAAGAAATTACCTAATTTGCTCGAACAATAAGGACGCATATTGAGGAGGAGAATGAAGAAGATATTATTATATGAGAAGTATTGCTACCAACCACGGTTACTATCCATTTTTATACATGTTCTCGTTAACCCTTTTCCACTTCCTCTTCAAATTATTCTGTCACCTTTACTACCATCTCTTTATTTATGCTTCATTTGAATCAAAAATTCAGGTTTCCTCGCATTTTAACCTATTTTTTCTTTATTTTTTCGATCTTCATTTCAACATCAAATCAAAATATTTTTTCTTCTTCTCAATTATTCTTCTCTTTTATTTGCTTCTCTTAGAAAAATGAAAAAAAAAGAGGAAGGAACAAAATGCTGTTTGCATAATTCTAAAAAAAAAATGCTTCAGGCAGTTCAAAAAAAAAGATGAAATAAAACAACAAATTGTAAAAATGAAAAATCGATTACCTAACTCAATGAGACGGAAAAGGTTATTTTTCACACTTTGTTTTTTTTTTTTCATCGATAATTTTTATTTGAAAGAAAGCACTGAGAAGTATGGTAAGAAAGAATTCAGAGAGGAAAAAATATTCATTTTCAGTTCAAAAATTTAATCAATACGGATTGCTAACTTATTTTATTGACTGTTTTTAGTTTTTCTTAAAAATGGAAATGAAATGACGTGTTTGAAAAAATGGATTATTATGCAAAAACAAGAAACAAAAGAAAAAGTGCGTTTCATAATTGGCGTAATTTTAAAAATAGGAAAAAAATGGAACAATTCATTGAAAAAGGTTATTTTCGCTTCAATAATTCTTCATTTTTTAAGTAATTTTTGACTTTTTTAAAATAATCACAGAAATTTTACATGTGTGGTGATTAACATTTCTGGGGCAATATTTAAATCTTGTTTAATTAGGCAATTAATTATTCGCCGCTACACTTTTTTTTCTATGCAATAACAATTCTGTGATCGCAAGAACATCTGATGAGTCATCGTTTTTATTTTATAAGTTGATGTCATAGCAATTTTATATAATTTAGAAATTTCAATCACAAAAATTCTGAAATAATGAATATCAAATAAAAAATTGGAGGTATCATTTTTAGGTTTTTTTTTCCTTTTTTTAGAAGTACAAATTTTTAAAAAGAAATCGGATTTCATGTATTAGAATTAATATTAATATAGGATATGGAGAAAAATTTTTTCCCGAAATTTCCATTCTGTTTTAAAATTAATTTATGCAGGATTTCAAGTACAAAACTGGTTCATTTATCGCTTAAATGCTTATAAAGCTTTTCTTTTAAGTCTAAACTGATCAAACTAAAGTTTCTGTGAAAAAAGGATAAAAGAAATCAGATGGCAAAGCAATGTTAATGGTTGGAATTTTTGCGAATAATTGAACTGGTGCAACAGTTTGATCAACAAAATAAACTATAAAATTAAAATATAAGTACTGATAAGGATATATGGTCAAATCGATGATATCCGGCTTGTTTAATTCAATTTCATATGAGACTAGACGATGGGAGTAAGATTGAATATTTCCCAAACGTACATATGCAAATTGGATCGATGCAGCTGTTGTTAATTCACAGCTTTCATCCATTTTATTCTAAAATAAATTATGAGAAAAAATTGAAAGTATAAAAGAAAAAATTCGAGGAAAATTTAAGTAATTTCGAGTAAGTTTTCAGCTAATGTATATAATAAATAGTTGAGTATTTGCTATATAACAAAATAAATATATCACGTATTTATGATTAA